GTTTGTTACGCTCGGCAGGCAGAGTGGGCTGGTTCGTTCTCGCTGTGTCAGGCAGGCTGTCACCTGCATCCCGCGCTGCCCTGCAGAATGTTCTGTGTCTGCAGTGCGTGAAGGAAATCTGCTCCGTGAACCTGAACTTTCAGTATTTGTCTGTGATCAGAGACCACTTTTAAAAAGCAGCCTCAATGTGTTGGTCACTAGTACAAATTCAGTCTGATCTGGTGATTGTTTCATGTGTACGTGTCTTTAGTAGGCTAAGTCTTTACCTTGCTGCTCCCATCCAGTATAATCACGTATTATATTATCCTGACAGGTCTGCAAATACCACCCATGAAGTCATCAATGTCACCCTCCACACCACGCTGGCTGCTACTACCAAACTGGTGGTTCCTACACCTGCTAAACCTATCCTTCCAGTTCAGACTGGAGTCCAAGCACAGCAAGAGGAGCAATCTAGTGGCATGACAATTTTTTTTAGTCTTCTTGTATTAGGTGAATGATGAACTGAAAGTCTTTTAATCTCTTTTAATCGTATTCTGTATCTGAGGACATAAGGACATAGGCCAACTTTGAAAATAATAGCTTTTTATTTTTCCTCTGGTTGTCTCTCTAGGAAGTGGAATATTGTACAGGCACAGGGATTTAGAAAGTTGGGTATATAGCTGCCTGGACCTCCCAAACCTGTGGAAAGCTGAGGACCATTGCAAACCTTTTCACCATGGTCTCAAAATGCAAACAACATGTTTAATTGGCTTCACCTTCATCAAGCACATGGCATGTGTTCACGTATGAAAAAGACACTGTCAGAATACTCCATGGCTGTCTTTGAGGACAGTGTACTAGACAGATGACAACCTAGCTACTTCTGGACAGCCCTCAGATTTTTGTTATGTACACCAGCAGAAGGCATCCAGATGTACATGTACAAGTACTAAAGCTCAGTACTTATTTTTCTGGCTCCCCTTTCTTACAGTCCTACAAGAATGTGATAATAACATGCAGATTGCCATAATTAAATTAACATTGTTTTACATATATAGGCATTTTGAATGGCAGATAAACACCCAACTTTTCAGTAAGTCTGGGCTGTTATCCTTTTTAATAGAATATAGTTATCTCTCACCTTGTGCTTAGAGCAGTGCTGTAGTCAAAACTGTAACAACTTCCATGGAGGATTAAGGGTTTGTCTCTTTTCTGTGTCTGTGTGCTTGGTTCCTCCAAAGCAAGCTACACTGAGAGACTTTTCTGTGACAAATGGGTCACCTAGTCTTCTAAGTGGTCATTCTTTCCAGTAGCACATGGAGAAAATAATAGGTACGGAATTGAAAGCAGTGCAGAAACTTCTGGAAAACATTTGGGTTTAAAAAAACCTGTATCCTATAAAGAACTATGAAGCACTATTAAGTGCAGCAAAAAGTAAAAGGCTTTGCTTATTTCTAAAGTACCTATTTGTCTAAGAGGGTTAGTGTTTTCCCAGAGGTCAATGGTATATTCAAATTTGAACAGAAACAAAGACCAAAGCAAAAAGCAGTAGATCAAAAGACTTCTAAGATTAAAATAAAATTTCTGAATATGTGTGTCTCATGGATTTTAAAAGGGCCATTCATGGTAAAATTGTATTACTAGGAGTCAAGAACAGAACTTTTTTTTTTGGCTGTGTTCCAGCCTATTTATGCTACTCTTACAGCTTAATGGATCTTAAAAGCATCACCCTCAGGACAGGAGTGTTCCCTGACTGGACAAAGTAAAGCCAGTATAAAGGCTTGTTGTTTATAGTTATTCCCATTCATAATCTCTGATTTAAGAGACTAGGAAGGGTGAAGATGCCTGTGTATGCCATACGCTTAAATCTGGATGTCAGGAGCTGTAAAATGACTTTTAAAATGTTCTGAACTGGAATAGACCCAGAAGCAGATCCGTTCTGAGCTGCGTTGTATCCAAACCAAGCCCCAAATTTGAAGTGCCTGAAGTAGCATGAGTTAGTCTTTGACCCCAGATTTCAATGGCTAGTTCATCTGTTCAAACACCACTTTAAAAATCATACCTCTCTTCTGCCGTGTTCATGTGATCCATTAATTGCCTTCTGTTGTGTTACATGCTTTTACTGTACTCTTCCTTAAGGGCACACTCAAATATTCTTTCAGCCTGTCCAGAACACTGCTTTTTGCCGCCTCTTGCCTGATTGTTACACTCCTGATACGTGCAGGTGCCTGGAACAGATGATATGCTGCCAGATGCAAACTGAACAGTCTTGCACAAGGAATGAGTGACCAACAGCTAAAGAATATACCAGGCTGCCGTAGTATTTGTGGTGGGAGTTACTTCTTAGACTACGGTTACTTTTTGTTTTATTGCCAAAGCAAAGTAGTCAAAAGCTAGTAGAGAGGAGCTGGTGATTGGATCTGCTAAATAGAAAGCATGTTTGTGCTTGCATTGGGGTTTGCTGGAAATCTGTGATGTCCAGATGCCTTTATGAATCTGTCCCAAAGAGCAGTACAGAATGCTTTTAACACAGTAATCCTGGATGTCTGTACTGGATGTCTATTTTTCATGTTAAACAGGCAGGAAGCTGAGAAAATAACGCTGACAGGTGAATAAAAGTTTTGCTTGGGATACATGATGAAGCTATTGCTCACAGAGTCTGGCAGCTGGCGGCAAAATTCCCGAGTTGCTTGTTAATCTGCTAAACTGACGCAATTTCTAGTACAGTGTTTTAAAGTAAACACCAGTTTGAATCTGCATTAAAGTATTGTACTGTAAACTCAGGTGTTTTGAGAACTGATTGATACCATAAAGATGGGTGGAGAGGAAGTGGGGTAAATTTGTGGGGAAGGGAGCCTCGCCACTCTTGATGAATGGAGCCATCCCTGCTCATCACTCTCAACCCACAGCTTTGGCCCCGAACAAATTACATCCCAGTAATTGAGTAAACATTCCTGTTTTTCACTAGTCCTTGCTCAGTTCAGAAGCCCATCGATCCATCACATCAGTGAAATGCTCACCACGTTGTGTATGAACAGGGTGCATGAGATAACAAGTGGGAGAATGCAGGCGTCGGTGTGATACCTATTCCTTAGCACCAATTGGAGAATAGGATGATGAAAAGTGATGTTTGTATTTATGAGGTTTGTATTTCTTTTTTGTAACACTATAGTAAATACAGATCATGCTGTAGACCCCAGTAGTTCACACATGGTGTGAAACAGCAAACGCTGCCAGTGCTCAGAACTACTTGGGGACCATTTTGCACCTTTTCGGGCTGTAAATTGAAAGTTCTTCTGAACCATCTGTGAATGGCTGTTTGGTTTTTAGTTAACTAGAAGGAGCTGTTAAACTGAATCTCTAAGAGCAGTTCCAAGAAGTTGGTCCATTCCCGAGTTCAAAATGCGTGCTGTTGTAGCGTGGCCTGGCAGTCCGCTGCCCACACTGAACTGGGCGAGAGTCAACTTGCAACAAGGGAAAGGTGGACTGGAGAGAAGAAGAAAATTCTTCACCGTGAGACTTAAGCACTGGAATTGGGCTTGAGAGAGATTGTGACTTCTTTGTCTTCAGACATTCTTAAAACTGGACTGGACAAGGCCCTGGGCAACCTTCTTTGGCTTTGAAGTTAGCCCTGCTTCGAGCAGGAAGTTGGACTAGATGAGCTCAAGACATCCCTTCCAGTGTAATTTTTCTGATTCTGTGATTTGATTATCCATTTGGGTAAAGCCCATCTGCTTAGAGGGACTTGGATGTGAAAGTGTGTAGCTTTGAAATTTTAATTGAGTCCACATGTACACATATGCTTTATTGCAAAAATAAGAAATGTTTACCAAAAACTTTATTAAACAGTGTGCTCTCTATAACTGACATTTTTTTACAGCTACTGCTCAGATAACATTTTCTTGTAAGCTGAATCAGGCTCTAAAAGTAGTAGTAGTGTATTTTTAGAAGTTAATTTTAAGTCCTAAAATTTGCCTTAGTTATTTTCTGTCATTTATAGATCCATTTATGTACTCCAGTGAGAATTAGATTTGAACTAAAATTCGGTTCCTTGCATTAGTGGATTTCTACTAAGTCATTAGGGGAAGTTTAGTTGCATGTATTTTGGAAATACTACTTGTATTTTATTTTCTTATAACACTTCTAAATTTACAATTTATTTTTTTCCTTTCACAGCTATCTGCATCATATTGGTGCATTTACTGATAAAATACCGACTTCATTTTTTACCAGAGAGTGTGGCTGTAGTTTCTTTAGGTGAGTAACGATGACATTTTTATGTTGAATTTGTGTTAATTCAGGGGCTCTCAGTAGTCTGTACTTGAAATAATGCTCTGTTGTGTGTTAACCATCCCTAAAAAGATACAGCAAACTGGATGCAGTGAAGAAAACAACCAATTCATAGGATTAAATTCATGGAAGAAATCAAGAAATGAGCATACGTACAAAGACTGACCCAGTAAAATGACACATACAGGCACTACAGGGATGTCACTACCTAAGTACTTGGGCAGCTGCTTCTGTTTTTGCATCTGCACAAGATACTGCAGCACTCCCTGGCAATGAGACTCTGGCCTTCCCTTTGAAGTCGTGCATGTGTTTGTATTAGTTTCAGTAGATGTCTGTATATGTGATTTTAATCTAGCTGAGGACTGTAATTTTATCCTAAAAAATTGGCTGGAGTGACAGATACTTAACTCTCCCTGTAGTACCATAAGAGCTCTTCCTATGACTTGAGCTATAAGAATGCCACCCTTAATGAGGATCAGGTGTTTACCTAATTTGAATTAAATCTGGAGTATTCCTAAGCCTGCAGTTTTATGCTAGGGGAATGTCATTTATTTGTATGTTGTTGCTCCCGATTTATAAATGTGTAAATGAGGAGGAAATCAGGCCAAATACATGTATTATTTTCTCTACATACTGTCTAACACAATGTTTAAGGAACCTGGTCTAACTAATTCCAGCAACAGTTTTTCAGCCATCTCTCTGACTTGTTTACAAGAATCTCTGATATTTTTGCTTCTATTGCTAGTGGCACTTTCACTGACAGCCGTTCTAAAAATACAACAGAAAGAGAAAGATGCTTAGCTATAATCCTAACATAGCATGAAGGAAGGTAATACTTGTTGAGCAAGTAGATCTTTTACTTTCTCCTGGGCTTTGCTTCTCTTATATTTCTTAACTGTATTTTCACACAATTTCTCAATGGGAGGAAGTGAGCTTTCTGGTGCCTGTCAGTACCTTATGCTTTCTGTAAAGCAGGGATCTTCTTGTATCTTAGGTGCTAGATTGAGAAAATCTTAGAGCTGTTACTTAGCAAAAAGAAAAACATATTTTCCTGCAGGCATGACTCCCTGAATTTTTAGATAACTCTATTTGATGCAGACCACTGGCATAGTGGAAGGTATTGAAGCTTAAAGAGACATTCATTTGCAAGGCCCTATTTGACTTTTGATGTTTCTGTACAGCTGAAGAACAAATATACCTGTAAGAAATCTGTCATAGTGCTGGTATGGATTTCCTGGGTATTGCACGCACACCTCATCTTTATAGAAGCAGCATCCATCAGTCTTTTGTGCGTTTGTGCTTCTTGTCTACCATAGTATGGCATAGAAAGAGAGCTGTTGCAGAGCATCGTGACTGACTTTGCCATCCCCATAGAAACCATACCGTGTTTGAGGCATTATTGACACACTTCTTTTTCCTTCCCTTCTTACATTATTGCCGTGGACAGGTGTCTTGTGTAGTATGTCTTCCAGTGTCTTGAAAGGCTGCAAAAGAACATTACTGTCCCTTCGGTATCCTTCCTCTTTGTACGCAAAAATCCAGGCGGCAGGTGTTGATTTGTCTTTTAATCAGGTTAGTTACCGTTGTTATTAAATAGCTAATCTAAGTGTAAGCGGAATCCCCACTTTAAAATGCAGCAGCATGTTGATTGCTCTTGCTGGCATAGTTTTGGATTTTCTGTACGATCATTCCTTATATTCTGCCCCAGGCCTACTACTGGACAGTGCTGAGCTGAGGTGTTAGGCAAGCTTGTGTGACTGCTCCTGCTGAGCTTTGCAGGGAGCAGCAGAGGCACAGACATTCTTCTCTCTCTGTTTCTTGTTCTCAGCATCTCAGCAGCATGAGGATTTTACCTGTGCTGGTATGTTCTGTGCCTCTGTCAGTCCCAACAAAAGCTTGTTCATTAAACTAGTAAGTTTTTGTGCTGGGGCTGTCACTGCTACTTGAGATGGGTAAGAAGGAGCCAGCAGCGCCTCTCTTTTATTTTCACATAGAGGGCACGTAGGAAACTTGCAGAGTTCAGTTCTCGGTGTGAACCACAGCATAGCTGTAGTCTGTCTCCCGAACTAGATGAGATGATACCAGCAAATGCAATTCTGCTAAGTCAAAGCGCGTTATACCAGTAGCAACCCAGCTAACAGATGTCCTGCGTCACTTAAGCCTTATTTATTTAGTTTATTGACTCAGTCATATTTAACTACTGTCAGCTCTGTTGACAGGACACGGCATCTGTATAATCACTGGAATTGCCAGCTAATTGCTGGTCAGTGAACCTCTGTTACTGGTAATGATCTACACAGCTGCAAGAGCACAGCTTGAGTTTCAAGTATCCAGTTTTGCTAGCAGTGCCAGAAGTGAGGTGTGTCCTATTTTGGCTTGTAAATTAAGCAAATGTTCTCAGGCAGTTATTGATGGCTAATAAAAATGGCAGCAGAGAAGTATGATTTTTCACAGCTGTTTTTCCTCCTATTGTCTAAGCTGCTCAGAAGCTTCTGGTTTACAATTTCTAGGGCATGTTACTCTCCTGGTGGACAGGGCAGGAGTGCATTCTCTAAGGCCAGATTTTTATCTTTGTCCTTAAAAGTTATTGGAATTTTGTTGGTAAAAATAGTTGCCAGAAAAGTTTTTCTCTTTGATTTGTTACTGAGTTTTAAGATGTCCTCAAGACAAATAAAGGTTGTCTGTAATAAGAAAATTCCTATAACATTTGCAAAATAATGAGGCTTCGATTAAGTCTCATGGACTTAGCTTTCCAAGTGGCCCCTTGACAACACTGATTTAACTTGATTTAATAGATGGAACCAGCTGAACAGAAACTACTTTCATTAATCTAGTAATAAGAGTAGTTTGAAAAGATGTGTGGGATGGGTTTTAAAAACCATTGTCGGTTTGATTCGGCTGCTTTTAAACCCTCTTGGTGATGTGTTATTATGTGCAGCTCTCTTTCATGACTCTGCTTAGCATAATCTTAGTAGTACCATTGCGTGTAATATGCAGCTAGAAGGAACTTGTGCTGTGTAAAGGTGTAAGGTCTATAATTCAGTCTCATGCTTTTCCCTTAACCTCTCCTGTTGCCTTACATTTTCATTGTTGTTCATTCAACTTTTGATATCATGAAAGGATCCCATCTGCCTGTGACACTGCTGCTAGGGTCAGCTTGTGATGAGCTCTTTTTTTAAAAGAGAGATTGAGACCAGCCTTTTACTTAAGCTTCTTGAGCTCATAGGATCGGGATGCCCAGCCTGGAGCCCGCAGGCCATGGTTGGCCTCCTCACAGGGGTCCAATTTCACAAAGTACCTCTGGAGCCCTTCTACTTCAGCAGAAGTGAGTTAAGGGATTCTCTTTCCTTTTAAATCCCCTCTAAATACAGTTTTATGTGAGGGCTCTCAATACTAATTCATAAAATACTGAAAGTTTGTTCAGGAAATACACTTCCTGAAATCTGTGCCTTCAGATACATTGGCTCCGTTTGTTGTGGTTTGGTTTTTCTCCACATAAACTTCTTGTTAAGTGATACAAGTACTGCCAGTACCAGTTGAAGACAACGTTGCTGCTCTGCAAAAATTAGAAATGTTCTAGTCCTTGGCTTCTGATACAGCTTCCATCCCAGAATAGAAAGCCTGGCTGTTAGTCCTGAGACCTGTGTTAGTATGGCATGTGAGCGGCCGTGTCTGCATTCCGGCCTCCTTCACAGAACAGCAGACCTTTTATGTTCCTTCATTAATGTTTTGCTCTTGCTTGCCATATAAACCATTTCATGGAACAACTTTTTCTATCCTCTGGGACCAATGCCTTCACATATTTTTCTGTGAAAGAAGGCTTAAGCCTCATGGCTTTGTGTGTATGACACATCCATCAGGAGTAACCCATGTGATGTTATTTGTAAGACTCTTTTGATAGCTACAGCATGAGAGAATGAAAACATATGAGTTACAGGAAAGCATACTTCAAACTTCTCAGCCACTTTTAACCTTTCATTCCGTGTGTTTCACTCCTAAATCCCAGTGTTTGACTATTAAGTCTCCATTTTGTAAATAGTAAAACACAACTATGCAGAAACACAGATCTGGAATCTGACTAAAGACAAATTCCTCATAACTCCTTGAAAGCAATTAATGACAGTTCATGAATTATCTTCATGATTTACAGAAGAAATCTTGTTAGTTTGGAGTTTTCTGTCTTACCCGTTTGGAGATGGATAGGAGGAGAGACCACAATAACCTTTAGCCATTGCGTTTGCAGCACCCTTGGTAAAATTCTTTTATACTCAAATTAGTATCTCTACATGACTTAAAAGATATGTAATTCATTTGGGAAATAGTTCTGATGGTTCTCCACCCTCATCGGAGTTTGTTGTGCACTTCATTGCCAGTAAGTGCTATGATTTCATTGAGACAAAATTTACTTCTGTGGAAAAGACTGATTTCACTTAAGCTGTGTTAACACTGCCAATAGCATTGAAGTGACATGAAGATTTTTTGCTATCACAAAGATATCTAACTCATAACTTCCTGATTCTTTAGCAAGAAAGGCTGAATTTTACTGGAATGCAGCTTAGATGAGAGGCATTTTTGAGGCGTTAAACCTGTTACCTTCATGAACCAATGAACACAGCACTCCTAATATGCGTGTTCGGTATTTAGATTATCGCAAGTGACAATCTTCTGTAGGGAAGATATGTGACGTATTGGAAAGTTGCATATGTCGGCCCCAAAACAACTTTGTGTTTTTGTGCTTTAGGAAGGAAAGACTTGCTGCTTTATGTTTTGCCTTGTTTTGACTTTGAAATCTTTGTTGACTGAGAGTCGATAACAGTTAATGCAAACAATTATGTGTTTTATGAGTATTTCAGAATGTTGTCTTATTCTCTCCTAGGTATCCTTATGGGAGCTTTTATAAAAATCATAGAGGCTCAGAAGCTGGCCAACTGGAAGGTATATTTGAAGCAATTAATTTTTCATTGTAGAACAATCCTTAAATGTTTAGAACAAGACTGTTTGTAATATTAGTTTCTTTAGATGTAATTTCCAAAAACTTACATACATTATACTTGATGCCAAAGTTTGGGGGTTTTTTAATAATAATACAACCAATTTGAGGTCCTGATCCCGCTGAACATTTTCTACACAATATTTTTTTTCTTCTGAGTAATCCTTTTTATGGTACCAAATCTGTTCCTATTAGATACATGGTAGAAGAAGGTATTGGGCGTCTTTGGGATCAGTTACAGTAAAAAATACAGCAGTTCAGTTGTTTGTCTCATATACTTTTTGACTGTATTTAGTTCTCTTCCTCCTTTTGAAGTTAATTTAGGAGGTGTTCATAGGAAAAAAAATGTGTTTTGATAGGCTGTAAAGTCACGTTTTACCTGAAGATGTTAACATAGATTTCACAGAGGTGAAAAGGAGCGCTTCCTCAGAATAGCTGTGCTAAAAATTATGCTCTCTACTTATTTTATTTACTCAAAACTGCAACAAATTGTGGTGCTAAGAACAGACAGTTCATGAAGCAATCCATTCAGCACGGCATGTTTCCTGAGTACTCCATCACTTGTTGTGAAAAGACTGCTGAAAGCAGTGTGCCTGAAGCAGCAGCATTTTTCATGCTGGATGAAACAATGGAGACATGATTTGAGCTTTATTTCCAGCAGAAAATACATGCAAACCTGCTGTGCAGGAGGTTGTCCTTGTCCTGGCGCCTTGTGCTTTACAGACTTAGACCTTAGGAAGCAAATGTTACCAGTCATGGCAACCAAACGTAGGAACGTGTGACCAGAGAGGGTATGTGAAGCTCCATCCACAAAGATACTCAAAACTTGGCTGGATAAAGCCTTGAGCAGCCGAAATTGCTCTGAGTTGGCCCTGCTTTAGAGACCTCCACAGGTCCCCTCCAACCTGAATTAGTGTGTGATGCCATGAGGTCTTATCTGTGCATGTGTGGGGTCACAGAGGCTTTCCCAGGGAGGGAGAATCCTGGCAGAAGTGTCTCCAAGATGTCAGGTCTACAGTGAAGCAAGGATTTTGCCTCCTACAGTTTATCCATGTCATGAAAGCAATGAGCTCTTCGATATTCCTGTTTTAATTTAAAATTTTGTGGTATTTAAATTGTGATTTCGTTTCATGGGATCAAACAGTTCATTAGGATTAGATCAGTGAACTGATTGAAATTGCAGTGATTTGAATCGCCAGTTTTAAACAGGATTTATGTTTGCAAGCTGAAAGTCTTGGTCTGAGTAGTGAATTTTCATCCTAGCTTTCAGCTTAGTATTTCTTGGCAGTTATTTCCCTAAAGGAAAATACATTAAGATGCATAGATTTTCAATCACATGTAGCTTTTTTATTAAATATTATACTTCTCTTTTGGCAACTAAGTACCCTAATTCTGTGTACATTCATTTAAGCAATTATATAGTTCAGGAGTCATGTTGTGGTATTTCATTTTTACTTATTTACTAATTAGAAACAGCAGGTGGTGCATTAGTTAGTGTTTTTTCATTCCTGATTTCTGTCAACTGGATTTGACTTAAAATTGAAAGTAAGTTAAAGACTCACAAAATCAGCATTTTAGAAATAAAAATAATCAGTTATGTAGGGGAAAAAAAAAAGAAGGCTTAAAAAGTGCTCTGATTTGAGCACTGATTCTATAAACACAGGAAATACTGATTCAAGCTAGTGAATTTTTTAGTTTTTTCTGGTAAGCATTGGTCAAATCTTGGGAGGCACTGGGGATGCTGCATCCAGTTGCTCACACTATCAGCTAAGGTAAAGGCTCACAGATATCACATTATTATTATTTGCTTATTTAAGTTACTTTCACTGTACTAAAGCTTAGGTTTTAACATAGGTCATCATAATTGCAGATGTGAAATGTTCTAATCAATAATTATTTACTTTATAAAATGGTTTTAAATGGTTTTAAATTTACTAGAGAATTTTTGTTTATCTGATTTTGAAAAAAATAGAATATTTAACTGCAGGCTATATCAGTGTACAAAGCAAATCTCAGATTGTATCCCTGCCCTAAGAACTTAGTATGGCATGACTGCAAGAAATTATATTACAGAGTCTTCAGTGGACTTTGTACTTGCTGGTGATTCTTGCTGGCTAGCACGGCTGGTAATTACAGCCCTCCTATTTTACTTTCCTGGTCTCTGCTTCAGTGCAGCACAAATGCAGTCTGTCCTTTTAATTTTTTCTCACCTCCTTGTCCAGCTCTGCTTTCAGGGGCTTTTAAATAGTGTAATTAATCGGGTGTGTTGGTTTTTTGATCTAGAGCAGTTACTATATTGACAGAACCTAGGTAACGTTAGCCATTGACGCATGGAATTGTGCATGCAGAGTAATGGGCTAGAGCACTTCAGTATAAAGGATGAGTTTTATTTCCTAAGTCCCACAAATCCTTTAAGATGATTATCCCTGGTACAATCAGGAATGAGACTTTAAAGAGACGAGTATTTCTTTTTTGAAAGCTGGTGTTTTAGCATGGATTTAAACAAATTAATTGTTGATTACAAAGGTGACAAATTCTGTTGTATTCAGAACTGTGGGGACCTGGTGAGTAAAGAGGAAGAGGCAATGGTGAAAAGGAACCATCAGAATAGTACCATTAAATTACAGGCAAAAATTACATTTGCCAGGAAGAATCAAACCTCTGACTCTTAACAGTTGCAGGTATAGAGCTTGAGCCTGTTCACTTCAGGTGTACTAAGTTGATGATCTGATTTCTTCTCCTCGTTAATGAGTTTTCTAGTGAAGCTGTACTTGGTCATGGTTAACCTAGTTTGTATTCAAACCAGTGGCCAAGAGGTCACTGTTCCTTGACAGTCCTTACAGATTTTGCAACTAGGAGATAAAACGGGAATACTTTTTGTGGCAACAGAAGGACTTTTCCTTTGCCAGAAATAACCTGGTTTCTGTGCAGCTTATTTGGAGACAGTACTTCAAAACAAATAACAGCTATGTTTCTATCACTGGATTTAAAAAAAAAACGACTAATAGAAGTAGCAGCTCTGGAGTAATTTACTATTCTTCAGTCTTTTATTTTACGATAAGAAGGGAGGAAGATTAATGCTGTTTTCATTTTCCAACATTTTTGTTATTTTTTAAAAATCATTTCCCTTTTGGAAGATTTTATGTTATTTCAGTAATTATGATATCCTTGAAATTTTACTTCATTTTTGTTTTGCAGGAAGAAGAAATGTTTCGTCCAAATATGTTTTTTCTGCTTTTGCTTCCACCTATTATATTTGAATCTGGATATTCATTGCACAAGGTTAGCCCTTGCCAGACACTCATTTTACATCTTGAGGTTTTGTTTGGAACACATTCTGCTTTTAGTTATCTTAATGAAATTTAGAATGATTGCATTAAATTCCATCATGTTAATTGTCAGGGAATTGAGAATGCAAAATGTAAGCCTCTTCAATCCAGAATGCAGGGAATGTCACTTGTTGCTGTTAACTGAATGTTGGCAAGGTGTTAGGTACTGCTCAGAAGTGGTTCTCCTTGGTTGGAGAGGTTTCTTACCTCATCAGAGCTGTACAAGGGCTGATGTGAAGGAGGCAAAGAAGTAGGTAGGAGTAGGATCAGAAGTGGGAAAGGTGGGGTCACTCCATTGCTAGAGAAGAGGAAAATGTGTACAAGGGTTTTCACCCGTTGCCTGGGAGCCTGTGTTTCCGTGGCCACTGCTCACAGCGCTAGTCCTGGCTGAAGCGGTTCTGGGCCTCCCTGGGTGCTGCCTTTCTGCTCGAGCTGTGCTGCGGGGCAGGGAGTGAGCAGTGGACGATGGTAATACTGGGATCACAACTTAAGAAAGGGACTAGCAACGGGAAAGTTTACAAGCCTTTTAACATGCCCTGTCTACAACAGATGGATTGATTTACAGTTCTGTCAGGTGTGTCAAAGTGCTGTTCGTCTGAGGATTGGTTTGTTGTTAGGGTACCAGACTGACATCTTGTCCTGGGTGTTAGAGGGATTTGATGTTGTCCTCAAGAGAGCAGGTGGTGTGGATATATGTCCTGGGGTACCTGGAACCAAACTAATGAAGCTTTATTATTGGAGCACAGTTGTGGATCAGAATCTAACTTAGATGCAAATCCAAACATGAGTTTTCCCTCAGATCATTTTCACTAATTTACTTACTATTGTGTTCCAGGGTAATTTTTTTCAGAACATTGGTTCCATCACTCTCTTTTCTGTATTTGGCACTGCAATATCAGCTTTCATTGTAGGTGGAGGAATTTATTTCCTGGGCCAGGTAAGAATAACCACTTGGAAGCACTTAAGTTTATCTACCTTGCTCTTTGAAAGTCCATTTTTCAAGAGTAGACAAACATAGTGGAAGTGAATTCCTGGCTCACAAAGTCCAGTTCTCTGCTATCACAGAGGCAATTTTATATAACCCCTTCCATAGATGCAGCATGCTCCATGTTAGAAGCAATTAAGACTTGAGTTGAGATGTACTTTTTTTTACTTAGTCTTCCTATCAGAAGGCTGTTCCAAAACCTGTATTCTCTAGAGCCATCTTCTGATTTCCAGTATTAAACTTGTTTGTTCTGTCAGTAATTTTTTTCGTGTCTCTGCTTTGATGTTTCCCCATTGATAAGATATTGACATAGATAATTATATTTTCTCTCAGACTTCATTCTGGTAGGCCAAGCCATCCATACTTTCCTCTTGGCCTCTCAGTTTTCCATTCCTTTGAATGTGTTAGTTACTCTACTCACCTGTGTTTGTTTCAGTTTCATCTGGTCTTCCCTCCTTTTGGGTGACCAGAATTGTAGCAGTAGGTCAGTGTTGGAGGGCAATGTTTGATGGGTAACATCATGACTGTGATTTTCATTATAACAAACTTGGGATTTGATGAATAGTTTCATTTTTAAAAACAGCAGAAAAACACAGTTGATTGTGATTTTTTTTTTTTTTATGTTTTACCTATTCTTTCAGGCTGATGTAATTTATAAACTCAACATGACAGACAGGTAAGCTCTTGGGGAAATGGTGCAGTATATGAAATGAAGCATTCTTCAAGATAACTGTCTATGGGAAATGCACTGTAGTTGGCCAGCTCTTCTGGTTATTGTTTAGATTGCTTAGGTTCAATGTGGTGTGTGAAACTAATGAATAGATCACACACTTCTAAACCCTACTTATTACACCATTATTTCCAAATAGTATTCTGTGCTCAGTGATTTTTCTAGACAGTTTTTTAGCTTTTTAAAGTTAAAATATATAAACTTTGATTAGTTAGTATTATTAATATATATGATAAGGGCATAACTTTCTTTTTTCTCTTAAAGAATGAGTTTTTCAGTATGAACAATGTAGATTTTTCAAGAACTTGGCAAAGGATCTAATCTGTTTTTTAGGAGTACACCACCCTACCATTAAATAAATTTTGTTCTGGTTCACTTGGGATTTTTGTTTGTTTATTGTATAGCCAACACAGCTGTTTTTTGTTAAAATCCATAAATAAATTGGGTGGCAAGCAAGAACAGCAAAAATCTTCCTCACTTGGTTCCAGTGTTTGACTTTACACAGCAGAGCAGTCCCATTGCCTCTGTATTGTCTTATCTTTGGATTCCAAATTAATGAAGTTTTAGCAGTTCCCTTTAAGTGTTCCTCTCTAGTTCTCCTGAACAGGTAACACTGTGCATGGTTTGGGCTGTGGCTGTAAAGTTGTTTGATTTCCCATTCCTCTGATTTTTTTCTTATTTAGTTGTATTAGGACATTAACACTATTACTGGGAGCTGGGAGACAGGTGTTTTTCCAACATCTCTTCCAGCTGGACAGTAACTTTCCTGTTTGGTGTATCATTAAATAAAAACCAAAAACTTCCCTTTTGTCACTTCAAGCAACAAGAGAGCATAACCTTTCACTGTGTAAAAACTATAACATGTAGCGTCTTTGTTACAAGTTGTTCATATAAGTTTACTAGGTACATATTTTTCTTTAATCTAGTTTTCTTTTTTGTTTTGTGTTCTCCCAGTTTTGCATTTGGCTCTTTAATATCTGCAGTTGACCCTGTGGCTACTATTGCTATTTTCAATGCCCTCAATGTGGATCCTGTACTTAACATGTTGGTTTTTGGAGAAAGCATTCTCAATGATGCAGTCTCTATTGTTTTGACCAAGTAAGTGCATTTGAACTACACTTGTTTATGGAAACGGCAACCACATTATTTTCTGTTAATTAGTTATTCAGCTATACAGTAATACTTCCATCTCCATTTGGAACAGATCATGTATTTCTGGTGTAAAGCTGAATTTTGTATGATCCTTCTTTGTTAAAACCAATCCATAACATAAACTGTGTAGACAGAAGACAGTAACCACTGTCATTACCACTACCCTCAGTACCTTATCTCATTGACCCCAGATCACTGATTGCTTTCTAAGTCCGTACATTTACCAGCTCTCTTTCCATCTGAGGGTCCTGCCAACAGAAAAGCAATGTGTCCTTTCAGGCTTGCACAAAAATATTTACCTTGCCAAATATGCAGCTATGTCTCCTCTATCGTTGCCTTATACCCAGAGTCACACTTCAGTTGGGGGGGCAGGGATACATCAACATCCATGCAATACTTTTATATTTATGTTGGGGCTAACACAGGGAAGAAAAACATCCCTTGTCCCTGTCCTTTGCCCATGGTAATTCTTTGGGCCCAAAAGAGTAAAAAACTGTAGGTATATCTTTGTGTTACTGCTAAAGTCAATAGATTTGACTGTGAATATAGGAGTAGATACACTCAGAAGGTAGTGAAGTTAGAGTAATTTTTTAATGAACTAATTGCTTTCAATACAGTCGTGCTTCTCTAATGGAAGACCATGAAGGCTAACAGCAGTCAAAATGAACACTAGTTAGAATCCATGAGTTCTTTGCGTGGAATTCTATGAAATACATTCCTGAAGTTCAAAGAGATTTCTCCCCTTTCCTTGTAAGAGCTTCATTGTTTTTCTTCAGTGACCTTCTTGTCTCTCATCCACACCTAAATATTTGATGAGAGGTCTTCCTGTTCAGTTGTTCTTTGCTGAGGATCACATGACCTGTCTCTTTTTTTTTTTCATGCTGTGAGTTTTTACCACTGCAAAATGTGTTTTCCTTTTCAAAGTTTGAAAATTGTTTTGTAATAGTGGGCATTATCATAGCCTATTTACGCCATTCTGGGGATTCTTCAGAAGAGCAATGCCAGATTTCCAGACTTTTAGAAGAATTAGGTTTCCCTTTAGGGATTACACTAAGGCTTGATATAACATCTTTTGACATTCCTCGTGTTATATATATCACAGTAAAAGCCTTTTAAGAGTGGTAGCAACAAAGAAATTGAAGTCTTTTGTTGTTGTTCTCAAAAGACGTTTGGTATTTTTGGATCCAGGCTTAGAATTTATAACAGTTTCTTTTTATTTATTTCTTAATTATATCTAGCACAGCAGAAGGTTTGACAAGAGAAAATATGTCAGATGTAAGTGGCTGGCAAACCTTTCTACAGGCACTGGGATACTTTCTTAAGATGTTCTTTGGCTCTGCAGCACTTGGCACACTTACTGGTCTTATTTCTGCATTAATATCCTTTTTAAGTTTTGGTGATACACATATATAAATTGTTGATCTTCAGCATTCTAATAGTATTTTTCTTTGCCATCTTCTCCAGCACTTCTTAGGGAATATTTCTTATTAGACATTATTTTATTGGCTGAGGGTTTTCTCATGCTCGTTTTGTTTTTATGTTAGTGTGCATGGGTGTGTATTAAAAAGTTGCATCAAATTTTTGTGAACATAATTAAGGTCTGAAATGCTGTATAGTAGCTTATATTACGTGCATTGGAGTTATGAAATACAGTAATTGTGTTGTAAATTCAAAATATATTAATTCCATTTCAATACTGATCCATTTTTACAAGCATATGGCTCCTTTTTTACATGCATAAACCAGTTAATTAAAAAGAAAAAAATAGCTGCTTTTCCCGAGGGCTTTTGAGTCAGACCAGCTCATTTGTCCCTGTGTCTCATATTCAGGCAGCTGAATACAGCTACTGTTCTGTTTGGCTTTAAGTTGAGTTCTATTTTGCCTCTTCCACTTCCATGAATTGGTTGCTAAACAACCCAGAAGCTTCTCTGCTGAGATAAGGAAGGATGTTAGTTGTAAGTCAGGCACTTTTGTTCATTTTCAGAGCTTGTTTAATGTTAACACTGGTTTCACTGTAGGTAATCTTTTGTGCTAGGCTTGTACAGCAGTTATTCATGTCATCTGGGACATACTGTTAAGCACTCTGTTTGAAAATAACAAGAACAGAGTGATTAAATATAGACCTATTTCCTCTCTTGCCTCTCATTAGCCTGGTTCCATGAACTTTTAAATTATTCCATACATCACAACAAAAGAGGGAGACAGATGTTCAGCACTGCTTTTACTGATAGCTAAATGAAATTAAGACAAAGAGAAAAGCAGCTTATTTGCCCCATTGCCATTATTTGTGCCTCAAAATACTGGATTTACCCCTCAGCATGCAAAATTTCAGTGCAGCAAAGGATGTCTCTTATTAGTTGCCAGCAGATAAATACAGTCGAAGGTTGTTGCTGGTTCATGACCCAAGAGGAGTATGAATTTCCATGTCACAGGCATCTAATCCTCTGAATGTTAGCAATGATGATAGGTGGAATATTTTAAGCGTTAAGGCAAGGGTATGATTGAAGGAATATTCCTCACTGTTAATATTACTGCAAATCTGTCATATCCATTTGAAAGTAACTAGAAGTCTAGTGACTGAACAGAGGAGATGGCTTGCATGCTTAGTGTGGCCAGTAACCATGTCCGAGGCAAAATCTACTTGTATTTGGCACCTGTGCTGCCGAACTGTGCAAGAGATGCAAAGCAGAACTTACGGCCCTTGACAAATGTCCACGTTTATGACTACAAATGTAAAGTAAGTTTGAAATATCTTGAGTATCAAAAGGACATGATTTTTGTTAAAACATAAATGAGAGCTATTTTACTTTTAATTTGCTATTTCATAGCTCTCCCCTGTTTTTAGAAAAGCCTTTACTATTTGTTGATTCTCTGTGGATTTTCTTCAATAGTTTTGGAACAGAGATTTCAAAGTTTTTTTTGGCCTTTCTAGATCCAAACAAACAGCTCGGCATGTTGTTATCAGTTTTGTACAGGTACATCAGCAGCAGATCGTTTCTGTCTCTAGGTCTGTCCATTCTGATAGACTTCTACCAAGAGTAGCTTCTATAAGAAACACTTCTCATAAGAAATTATTAATCTTTCCATACTTGAGTCAGGGGCCAATCTGTGGACTTCATTAGCTATTCAGTAGGTAAGTACATTAGGAATAATAATTGTTTTGTAATGGAATGACACAAGTTTAATTTTTTCTTTGGATTTTTTTTAAATTTATTTTTTCCGTAACATTTTCATGTATACGTGCTAAAGCACATTGATTTAAGGAAGACACCCTCCCTAGAGTTTGGGATGATGATTATCTTTGCTTACCTTCCTTATGGACTTGCAGAAGGTATCTCACTTTCAGGTGAGTAGCAAAATGAGTATATCTAAGTTTCTTTGATAAATTTAGGGAGCAAATATTATGTGTGTGTAAGAGGGCCCCTGGTTTTTTACGTGTTTTCTCACTTAACACGTGCTCTTTTAACTTCGACTTACTTTAAGGAAACACTTATTCTCTGCTTCATGTTATAAAAGCATAGAAAAGGTAACGGCAGTTTTCATAAGCATTAGTTAGCCATTGTAAACACTAGTATTCTCCCCAGTTATCTCTACCTAACGCAGAATTAAAATTTCAGCTGCATGCTGTAGATCTCAGTCATGTTGGCTGACTGGGATAATGTCCAGCCTACTGCCCTGTAGCCGTGTTTCTGCCTGTCCTTCAGTGCCATTGGGGAAATCAGCTGAGACCACCGAGTGTTGTATATATCTCTGAATACTTGGTAGAAGTTTTGCTGAAGGCCACAAGAAGAGGCTTACAGGTGAACTTCCATCATTCTGTAGAATCATGTACAAGAACACGGTCCAGTTCTGCTGGGTGCCCAATGTGTCTGACCTTTGCTAATTTAAGTGGTTTTTTTAAGGCAGTCAGCTTCCTGTCTCTTTTCTCAAAGGAAAGTGGGAAGGGATGCAACAGTTAATATAATTCAAATAGCTTGGGAATCTACCTTTTTTTTTTTTTTTAAGTGCATTAAAAGGTATATTTGCTCTACAACTTGGACCATATTAGAATGTTTCAAGTTTCTGAGGAGTGGTATCAGGACTAGATTTCATATAAATGAGCTGCAGGTATGAAATTAGACTTTCTGAAAATATACATGTAAGCTAATATGAATATTTTGGAATGGATCTGTAGTGGTATATATCAGCATTCCTTCACTGATGTCAGTGGAGTTGTATTTTTTTATATGTATGAAGATGTGGCCTATAATCATGGTAGTTACACAATCAAGATTTACAATCCTAATGCAAACATTCCATTCTGCCCACTTGCATCCAGAACTACTCTATATGTGTATATAGGCCAACACATATCCAGGGAAATTAAATTATATGAAACCTGAGCAAGCAGTTTGATATGTGAAAATATTTGTATTGCTGTAAAAACAAGTTTTGCCTTGTGAGAAGATTATTTTGTACGGTCTCAGCACATGGCCTTTTCTATTTCTAATTTATATGGCTTATTAATATAAAATTATAATAAAAATATTACAGAATTACAGTGCCATTGCATTATATAACCAACACATCAGTATGATGGTATACAGTGAAAAAGAATTTACAGTAAGATTCCTAGTTAGTTGCTCTCAGGATGATAGAGGTTCTTTGTCATTTTATTTATAAAGACAACCTCTCTAATTTTTCAAGTGCCTTCAAGAATGACTTCAAGAAATACAAACTTTGAATGACCTTAGTCAAGTCATCTCTGTGTTTCAAACAAAGGATTCTTTTGACCGTTCCTCAGCTATTCTGATCCTTCCAGTTGCGTTCATTGGGGCCACTCCTCAGCACATAGCTCCAGCCAAATACTTCTAGTGTTTTTACCTTCCTTTGCTTTGGGCAAACCAGGTGTACTCCCCCATGTCACGCTGTCCTCTCGAGGTCTGCATTGCAGTTGATTTCTTCTGGGTTGTGTTGTTAATTTTGTCGGTTATTTCCTCACAAGGAGTACTGTAGTTTTTCTTCAAGTGGACTGCTAAATTCTTCCACAACCTTAACCATCACCTCAGATGACATCCTTTGCAGGTGTAAGTCTATGCAGTAGGTGTGAAAATGGTTAAAGCTTCCTTTAAGATTCCCAGCTCCCTATGAACAGTGAACAACTGGCAGCGTCTGACACGTCTTGAGCAGTTAGCGAAATAGATTGAAATTCAGATTCTTCTCATAAATAACCAAGAGCTGAGAACCAAGGTAGATGGAAAAAAATCCCTAACAGAAATCAGAGATTTGTGAAATACAGTGAAATCTGAAGTAGCTGTTCTGGCCTGTGATACCAGTTGCTGTATCTCTGTCCAAGCTGTGCATGTCATTAGGACAGCTGAACTCTATAATAGAGCATTTGGTGGCTTTTCCTATAGTTGATAGCTGAGATTAGTCTCTGTAGTAACTTACAGCAGACAGTTTAGTGATCCTGCCTGCTGGGGGCAAGGGACATTCTGCACAGTGGCATTCCTTACTAGCCCCTACGTATCAGGCTCAAGAATTGGCTTTTTATTTCCCTCACTTTTATGGGAAACTGTGACAAAACAGGGTTTTATTCTAGCTTGCATGTGACTTATACTGAACCTCCCAGTATTCAGTGTGACCAGTGGAATGAGACGAGTATGAATACGGTAATAGAAACCCCACATAAGCTTTTGTGTTAGTAAGGGCTATAAAGACAAATATTTGCAGAGTGCAAGCTATTCTTCTTCTGTTGACTTTTTTATCTACAGGTATCATGGCAATCCTCTTCTCTGGCATTGTGATGTCGCACTATACACACCATAACTTGTCCCCGGTGACACAGATCTTAATGCAGCAGACATTGAGAACTGTTGCTTTCATGTGTGGTAGGTGCTACCTATTATTAACATCTAATATTAATAGTTTAAAATTTTATTTGCCTGAAAAGGTGATTCTGAGATGGGAGCAGCAGAGGTGTGCATTTTCTTCTGTCCATGTGTTATGTCAGTGGTACAGGTCTTTAGGAGAAGAATTCCTAATAGTGGAGTCAAAAGTCACCTTTCCTGCCACAGTGGATAAAACAGGCAGTAAATCTCTCTCTCCCATCCTGCAGGCTCCTGCGAAGATTTGCCACAAGATTGATAACCAAATAGAGATCTCCGACTCCTATATTCCTCTGGTCTATTTTTAATTTTAGGAGATGGATTTTTGGTAATATTTTTTAAAATAGTTTTGGATACAAAAAGCTACTTGCAAAAACAATAGCTTCACAAAATTAGAAGATTTTGGAAATAGTGATACAAGCAGCTCAGAGTCCCATAGCCTTTCCATTTCCTTTTACAAGCACAACTTTTGAAGAAATTACATACTGCTCTGTATATTCCTGTTTTCTAGGGTATGGATTGAATGTGTTCCATGTGGTTTGCAGGAAGATGCATTTGGAACATGGTCAGGGAGTGGCCTTGCTGCAAACTGAGCCACTCATTACCTGAGCACCAGTAGCTCAGCAGGGTTTGGTCTTAATCTATTACAAACACGAAAAAAGCACGTATTCATTCAAGTCACTATAAAGGAGCTATTTAAGATATTGTGCAATTTCGTACATGTTTGCAGCAGGTTTTGAATGTGCACATGTAAGTAGCCGGTACCCAAAGCGTGACCAAACATCTTGTGCTGCAGTAACTCAGGTATTGCTCCCATCTGTCCAAAACTGTCCTCTTTTTAACTGCTTTTATGATAAGGAACCTACCTTGCTAGGACAGCAGCGAACTGATGAAACATCTTGACTCTGTGGTTCTCTGATAGTAATGGGTTGATGCTGTGAAAATAAAATATTTGGATTACTGTAGTCATTGTGCAGTCTTGGTACTATTTCAGAGTTGCAAATATCACTCTAGAGGTTATTATAATATGCAAGAGTGGTTAGATCATACAGTGCAGTATTTTATTACAAAGAAAGTCATGAACTGCTGCCGCTTATAAGAATTTAATGAATTGAATACTTTATAATAACATTCAACTTACGGTTTGTGAGATTGTGCCTGACATTTCTGTTTTATATAGAATCTGATTCACAGCTACAGAAGTTGTCAGGAGTTGCTCCTGTAGCTTGTCCTATATTCCTCAAGTACAAAATTCTTTAGAACAAGGTGTTGCTAGCTTTGTTCGTGCTCCTTAGTGTTTTACAGCTGAAAAACAGCCTACACACACAGACTGAGGTGCTGTCCACTGACAGCCGGAGTGGAAGAATCTGGCCTTTTGCATAATGGCATTTGTGCATTCACAAGTCAGGAATAGTATTTTATGTACCACATGTAGTAACTGCAATAGGAATAGAAAAGGTTTTATGGAATTGTTTATTTAAGATGTGTTTTCTCTTTTTCAGAAACGTGTGTTTTTGCATTTCTTGGCCTGTCAATTTTCAGTTTTCCTCACAAGTTTGAAATGTCCTTTGTCATCTGGTGCATAGTAGGTATTTACTTTCTTCCATCTTGTTTAGATGCATTTGTAATATTGGGGAGGGGGGAACACCTTATGGTTAAAATATTTTAGAATAGCTATGTTTCATAGGTTTTTATGAAAATACTTCCAGATTTGTATGTATTGCACAAAGTTAACTGTCAATAATAGCATGAAATTATTCTTCTTGTTCTCCGCATTTTGGTGTACAAGTGCATCAGTCTGCTTTAAGGAATTCCAGTTTGCTGTTACTTTGAAGCCCTTCTATATAAGATTATTAAAAACAGAGAAAAGAACCTTGCTTGTTTTGACCCTATCAGATTTATTAAAATAAAAGAAGTTTCAAAAGATATTGAGATTACTATACATGCCACTGTATTCCAAAAGTTCTTTTACCAGAAAACAATCCTGAGTTTTTATATATCCTTAGCTTCATATGAACAATTTGTGTGAATGGGCAGTTTGTAGAAACTACAGTGCAAACTAGGATCAAACTCCACTCCATTCCATCTCTCCAGGACTACAGCTTTTGAGTCTGTCTCTCATATATCATTGCAGTTTGTTTACATAAACCAACTTGGGCCATACATCACTGCTTCACCGTGAGCTCACCTCCTTCAGAGGAAGTCCTTACTCAGAGGTTCTCCACTGTGTATTTATTCTTTGACTCCATTCTTAAATCTTTTTCTTTCATTCTGTATTTCAGTGTAGCTTTATGTATTGGCACTTTGAATTATTTTTCACATGGGAGTTACCTACATCTATTCCTATTACAATTGTTTAATATAGACATGAAAAGTATGTTGTTCTCTTGCAGAGTCAAAAGAGGGAAATGTGAATCCATTTCCAGTTGCGTACAGCCACATAAACTAGCACATTTTAGTCCATGGTTGAAGGGATGAATTGTTAATCTACAACTTACAGGCAGTGGTATCAGCATGGGGAACTGCTCTCACTGCATTGCACCCAGCTTCCCTATCTCATGTATATCTAAGGTGTGACACTTCCTTCTAAGTAGCACTGCCCTCACAGGCATAATGCAAATTGCATAATTTGGGGGTGATTCATAAAGGAAAACAGCACAGCCCTTCAAGGATCCTGCTGACTAATTCTAGGATATTTACCTTATCAAGGTCTGTTTGTGGTAGAGCTTAGAAGCAATGCCATTGTGAAAACCCCTGCTTTTGAGTTAAAGTTTCACTGTATTTGTTAATTTTCTGCCATTCAATCAATAGTACTTTTTTTCCCCTCCCTCTCAAAATATTGCTTCTTATGTGGTGTATTTTCTAACCATACCCAGGGAAGCATTGAGGAACCAGATTACATGCTATTTGGTTGGCTTCTGGCCTTTTTCTCTGAGGAACTGGTCCACGGGGAGACAATAGAAATATCTTATTGCCTCTTAGCTGCTGTGCCAAGGGGACGATTAAAGGAGCTGAGCTGAGAACTTTTACCCAAAGTAATTCTTGGTCTCTCTGGAATGCCTCTTGGGTTTCATTCATTTATTACAAGTAAAGTAGTGTCTGGTGTCTGTCAGTGACAAGTCTGGTTTAGTTTCAGTTAAGCAGACAAAATGTTTAAAAAGTTAAATTCCATCTTGACCTATGCTGAGAGATTCCTTTATGTTAGTTCAGCAGTACACCTACTTCCAAGACCTGCAAGTGAAAAGAGCATGTTCACATTAGCCTGTACAAACCAGATGCAGCTGGAGCCTGTGTGAATGTAACACGTCAAATGATCTTCTGCTTTTATTTCTCTTTTCAGGTACTTGTTCTCTTTGGTAGAGCAGTGAATATTTTCCCACTTTCCTACCTACTCAACTTTTTCCGGGATCATAAAATCACCCCCAAAATGATGTTTATCATGTGGTTTAGTGGTAAGTTAAAGCTCAAAATACAGAGAACTGGAAAAAATGTTTTATCTTTTTCATTTTGTGGGCTGCTCTGAGAGGAACTGGTTTTTTATCTGGGGAGCAACACTCAACATTTGCAGTGTTCTCAAACCCAAGTGCTATAGGTATGTTCCCTTTCCCCTTTGTGCTAGAGGACTATCCAGTGGTGATCCCCACTAAAGCTTTTCTGCAGTTTCTTTCTAGGTCTAGCAACTTCACAGTTTGAACAACAGTACCCAAAGAGCTCAGGTTCATTTCAGAGTGGAAACCACATGATAGATAAATGGGCATGGTATAGGATTGTAAAAATCTTTCACAGATGGAGAATTCCTGTTGAGTTAATCACAGTGCTGAGGACAAATGGTGCTGTTGAGACACTCTTCATTGATTTACTGTTCTCTCTGATAAGGTTTACGTGGTGCAATTCCTTATGCCCTCAGCCTCCATTTGGGCTTGGAACCAATAGAGAAGCGACAGCTCATTGGGACAACAACAATCATCATAGTACTGTTCACAATTTTGCTCCTGGGAGGAGGAACCATGCCCCTCATCAGACTTATTGACATTGAAGACTCCAAAGCACGCAAGAAGAACAAGAAGGACATAAATCTTAGCAAGACAGAGAAGATGGTTTGTTTGGGTTTTTTATGCAGATGATCACTGATTTTTTTTTTTATTTTACAATTTCTAAGACTCGTTTTTTTTACTAACAAGTAAAATGAAATCAATGGAAAAGGCCAAGCAATATAATTGTAAAATATCCCAAAGACAGAGCTTGGTTAGTGTTTACACAAAATAACTGTTTGGACAAAGGGAGGAGTAATAGTCTCATAACTCTAATTATAAATTGATCCATACAAATTAAAGTAACCCCTGCAAAGCATAAAGCAGATGATACAGGATTGAGTCATGTACAGAGGGAAAGTAGCTAGTACAATGTGAGTCATGAATTAATCATAAAAGGCAGATGGGAATTATTTTGAAAAAGTCAAAGCAAAGGCCATGAGAAGGTGGTAACAACAGCAACCCTCTGATTAAGTTTTATTTAAAAGCAATTTCTGGCTGAGCAAGAGTACTGAAGAAAACTAACAGCCAGTCTGAAACCTCAGGTGAAAAAGGCTGGAGTACGAAAAGTATCCCAGAACTTTTGCCTGTTTTTCCCCAAGCCATCAAACAATACATGCAGGGTATTGTTCTGTAGGATCTGAAGAACAGCTCCTCTTGGTGTGAGGTTTCAAAAAGCTTGCAGTCTTCAAAATTGTCTTACTCCATCCACTTAGGGAGGTGTGTGTAGGAAGAGCACAGGGACAGGGTGTGTTCTGATACAGGGCTTGTTTTCATCAAGAAAATTAGTGTTGCTTGATGGATAAAATAATTGTCCAGCTCACAAGAGAAAACCTGCACACTAGAAATCTTCTCAGCAATAACACCACCACCAAATATGGAACATTTGAGGTCTTCTACTTTCAGCACTAAAAGGGAAGCTAAATGGCTTAGAGAATCAACAGCTGAACAGATCCATACAGCCATAAGCCCTGGGAGGTTGGGGTGATAATTCCCATATAGTTCTAACATGGGAGTTTGTTGTGAGAAGGGGGAGCACAGAACAGGGGGCTGAAGCAAGCTGGACGGATGACTGCCACATTTCTCAGGTTATTCCAGTATTTGTGATCTTTCTAGGGTAATACCATAGAATCCGAACATTTATCAGAGCTCACAGAGGAGGAATATGAAGCCCAGTACATAAAACGCCAAGACCTCAAAGGGTTTATGTGGTTTGATGCCAAATATTTGAATCCTTTCTTCACCAGAAGACTCACACAAGAAGTAAGTTGTTCTTGGTTTCTTGAAGACAAGAAACTGTGGTCTAGTTGGTTGTAATTTTACTCTGTACCATTCAAGGCTCATAGTGTAGCCATGCAGCTTGTATGTTAGGAACAGCGAGCCATCTGATGTATTACTTGTAGAGCAGCTGTAATGAAAAGCTGCACTGTAAAATTGCAGGTTGGATTAAATTAGCTTCTCTCAGGGCTGCCACAATTAAACTTCAAAATGTGTATGGATTTATCAGAGTCGCCTTTCATCTTGCAGAATACCATGAAGAGTATCAGGAGTTACTGGTTACTACTGTTGCTAGAAAAAGCTGCTGCCTCTCATGCAGAGTTTGTAAAGCGCTATCACACAAAGGTCCTGCCTTTTACCGCACATGGCCCTGTGAATTCTGGAGGTGCAATTTTTCTGCAGGGTGCAGTTTTTATCTTGGAAATAAGCACCAGCATTGCAGCCTGCCACTTTTAAGACTTCCTCACTGGGAGACCAAGACTCTGAAGCTGAAAATGCAAAATGACACCTGATTGAACATGTAACTTAACACTGGGTGGCTCTGAGAGGTGTAAACACTATGCCATTTTCACTCCAGTGCCTCAGAAGCCTGAGACTCCTTAGCCACAAAGTGCACTGTTTTACCAGTTTGCCATAGGATTAAGCATTTATGCTGTGGAGTTGATAATTCTGGGTAGTGTTCACATTCCATCTTCCTAGCCTGCTCAAACATACTATTTTTCCTCTTGTTTTGTACCTTTCTTTTCAAAAGAGTGTTTTCAGCACTTTCCCACAAAAGCTAAAGGCATTTTTTGCAAAACCAAAAAGGAATCGAGAAGCCAGAGTAAGCATCTGATTTGTAGTTGATAGCCAAAAAGCACAGGCTGCCATCCAGACTGAAACCAAAGGCTAGAAAAATAAGTACGTGAATCACCAAAGCAGGCCACAAGCTTGCCACTGTCTCTGTGAACATGTAGAGAGGAGTGAAGGTTCAGAGCCAGGCCATCCAGGCAGCACTGGGAGTGTTGAAACTCACAGAGCAGGACTGTCTGGAAAACACAGGTAAAAATACCCGTCATCAAAAATACCATCTGTGGAAATAATTACTGAGTGAGCACTGGATAAATATTTTCTGATAGGAAAAATAATTGCTTTGCATGCTCGTAGACCAGGAGGGGATTATTTCCTGAGGAATATGTTAAACTAGTCTTTCTCTGTTGCACTAACACACAGGTGTTGTAGCTGAGTAACAAACTGCTCTGGTTTGCTTTTGCCTTAGGACTTGCATCACGGGCGCATACAGATGAAAACCCTCACAAACAAGTGGTACGAAGAGGTACGACAAGGACCCTCAGGATCTGAAGATGATGAGCAAGAGCTGCTATAGCAGACCGGGACAGGAGTGCAATGAGTTTATCATTAGAGCATTAGAAAGAGGATTTAAATATCAAGAGTCTGACGGCACAAAAGCTAAGAATGAACTTTGAGTTCAGACATGTGTTGTGCTACGTGTTTAGGTATGAAACGGCAGATCTACTGTGCTGGGTATTGCTACTCAGTGATGGAAACCCAAGTGTCAGACACTGGACTGAATGAAGAACATTTCATCCAGAATTTACAGCATAGAAAATTTTATGCAACCTGTTGAAAAGCTGAAACATTGCTTAATGGAGGGGTCTTCTTCCTATTATGAACTCTGCTGTAAACATATGCTGAAGTACAGAGCCATCATACGACTCTATGAAACAGAATGAATTGCACTTTACTTTTATATATATACACACATATATATTCATTAACAGCATGGAGAGTCTTGACAGTTTATACTGTGAATTTGTTTCTGCACTAGTGAGGGAATCTGTCTGGAATAAATCTATAATTTATGGGATTTGCACATTTTGAATCTGGAGAAGATGCATACCTTGACAAAAAGCAGATGTTGCACATACAAGGAGGCACCTCTGAAAACTGGTGGTTTTGTCATTTAAGAATTTCTTGATTTCTATTTTATGGGATTTTTTTTTAATGAATACTGAGGGATCTAATCCGCAGTACTGATTATAGCATCGTTTGGGGGAGTGGGGGATTGTATGACACAGTACAGAACTGCATTTGAAATTCTAGTTTTAATGTGTTTTTTTCTTTGGCTAAAGCCAGTTGCAGTTGGGTTTCTGTAATTGGCAGTTGCTCCTTGCTGGCACTTCGGCTTCAAATCTTAGAAAACAGCAGCTTTTGTTTTGCCTAATTCATGAAGTGTCCCTAACACTCCAGAACTCAGTAGTGGAATTTTTAAGTTCTAGCGGAAGCAAAAGCAGCATTTTCTGTATCATTCATTTGCTGAACTAAACACATACACAAGGAAAAGAATCTAAGTCTAATCCAGGTACAGCAGGTTACCATTGCCCATTTCTGAAGCAGCCCCAGTTGGGAAGTGCCAAACAGCTTTCATCAAGCTGTCCTGTTTGTTAATATTTTTCTCTTCTTACACTGTTTTGAAATCAGCAGTATCATTTAGCTTTTTCTTCGTGACCTAGTCCGTTTGCTCAAAATCACATACACCTAAAGAGACACGCCATGTTTGTTGCACATTTGCCATGGTTACACATGGAGCCATTTGCTCTCGCTGGCAGCCCAAATTCCTCGCTGGTTGTTTGCATATTCACTGCTGAGATGTGGATTGTAGTTCTGCACCTAGGTCTGACATGCACATGTTTGTTTCTGAAAGTGTGAGACTTATATTTTGGTGTGGTTTTGCTACTAAGGTTTTTAATCAATTGCTTACCTTACCCACTGGAAGAAATAAAAGTTCAAGAATGTATTTAGAATCCTAAACCTGGGTTGTCTGAGGAGTTTTTCAAAATAACACCTCTTGCTGCAGGATTCCCTTCTCCCTTTTCCCTGCCCCATTAGTTCAGAGAACTTCCCTGCTAATCCCAGAGCTGAACCATGCGCTTGGTGGGAGTTGGAACAGGGCATACACTCAGCTGCTGGTGTGGACCAGGAAGCAGTCGGTGCTTGCTTTATCATAAGAGAGGATCTGCGTGAAAGTCAGACCTTTTCTTCACTCTTCCAGGCAACAGCAGACTTAATTACATTTCAGTTCCCCATCAGCCTTACAAGTTTTCTCAGCTTTCATTTTGAGCCCAGGAGCTGGCTGGAAGGTCTCTGGGAGCTTCTCCCATCACAGGGAGGCATACACTGATCTAGAGGCTGTTACAGTGGGCTTAGTGGTATGCCTTTATCATGCGGAAATATTAAATAGCCTCTGATTTCTGTTGGTATCCCAGTGAAACAGACCACGTGCAAAATAAATAGATATACCAACAGCTGGGCCCTTTGATCGCCTCCATCGCGGCAAACTGATCGTTCCCTGCCCTCTGCTGGCAATTAGCGATAGTGCTCCGACAGCTAATGAGCCTTTTGCTGGGAATAATTTTACACATTAAATTGAAGCAATTAACTGATATAGCTAGAACTAATGAAATCATTTTGAAGCAATTAGAGTGAAGAAAATTTGGAAGCTTTAATTTAAAAGCAACTACTCTAAAACTTAATATTACATTTGACAAAACTTGGAATTAAGACAGCTTTGTTCTCTCTCAAAATGTGTGCTAACTTCCTTATTTGAGGACCAATAGAAGAAGTTTTTATTGTAGCAACCAATTTTCCTATTCATTATCAATACACTGACCTTTCTGTCTCAGTCATTTCTCAGCTTAGAGTTCTTTGCTTAAAGGAGTATGGTTAGAAAGGAAAAGTTACTCATCTCCTTGTTGACTTGCCTTGTAGTTACTTTAAATAATTTCCTATTTTACCAAACCAATACTAAACTCTAACCCTCTTGCCACAAGTACTAGCAGCCCCATCCCAACTTGGTGTCATCTGCAGATGTGTGCAAGTGTAAACTTGATTTTTTTCTGCTCTCTTAAGTATGGAGCCACCAGAAAGTACAATGCAGATGTTACTAACCCCAGAGCCCCGGAGTTCTGCCAGACCCAGTCTGTTCCCTGCAGCAAGCCCAGGCTCTCACAGACCAGCAACCACCACTGCAGCCCCCAGACCCTTTCCCACCTGGCTCAGAGTTGGGGACCAGCTGCAGCAGCACCAAAAGCTACAGACACCCGTTCTCACAACCAGCAACCCCCCAAACCCTCCCACAGCAGCAGCAGCACAGACCCTACCTGGGTCCCAAGGGACAAACCCACCATCCTCCTCACATCCTCAGGCTCACCCACCAGCAGCCATCCCAGAGGCTGCCCTTGCTATGGGGGGGGCTTTTGTTCTCAGGTAATTGGTGGCAGCTGGTGGCACCATTCCCAGCTGGGGACACTGATTAGATGGGCCCCAGCTGTGCCGTGCCCAGGGGACGGCAGGTTCCTGTGCTATGGCAGCCCTGGGGGAGGCCGGGGAGGGACCCTGGACCCACAGTCTGGCCTGGCCGTGGTGCGCGGGGTTCATCCAGCTCAGTGGGGCTTTGCTGAGTGCTGCAGTGCTGCTGCCTGGGTCCCCCCGAAGCCGGAGCGGCTCTAGGAACGAGGACCAAAGCCCACTCAGTGTTACGTGCCCTCAATGTTACATGTTCTCACACCAAACTAAAGGTGCAGATGCTGAGCTGGGCTTTTCCTGGAGTAAGAGTGGACCTGAGGGATTTGCAGATTTTATTTTTTTCCTGGATCCTTTAGGTGATTTCTTGACTGCAGTATTTTTTAGCTGGCAGGGGACAAAGTGGCAGGGCCGGGGGGCGGGGAAGCAAGGCGAGACCCCACGCC